TGTCCTTTTGTTGACTGTTTTAGTTTTCGAAAGCGAGAGCCCATCCGCTTTTGGACATGATCAATGCACTCCTTCTTTTTAACGATAAAATCTTCATAGGGCTATGAATCCATAATGCCCTTGAATGTTTTAGAATCCCGAAAGACCTTTCACTCGGTCGGTAATAGGGCCGCTTATTATCGACTTTTTTTTCGTTATAAGACCAATTGCATATCATTTTTATGACCCTAAAGTACATTTAAAGCAAAAAAAAAAAAATCGATTTTTCAAAAATTCTAAAGTGGTGTTACCCCTTAATTCTTACGTTGAAACGCGGGAGGGAGGGAAGGGGGTTGAGGAAGAGTATTATCCATGCATGCGTCAGCATCGTGGAAATTTCTGGAGTTTATCGAAGAATATAGATGTGGATAAACGAAAGAGACGCTTTTGAGGAAAAGAAAAGAAATAAATATGTTAAAGGATAAAATCCGCTATTTATTTATAATTACATATGAGGGTTTATAATATTATGAATTTGACGCGAGTTGCATCGTTTGATTTTTTATTATTCTTCGTACAATTTCGTGGAGATGAAATGAAGTTAACTCTAGAAAGAGAATATCAAAGTACACGTCCAGAAAATCAAAGTTCAACAACTGCTGCTGGACATTTTTCTCGATCTCTTTGAGATTATTCCAGAGCGTGTTTTTCACCATGTCCTCATCTAAATAGCGGTTAGGTAAATGTAGTTCGATTTCCGCAATGAGAAATTCGACGCAATCGTTGACGAGATTAGTTAGCGAATATAGCTGCTTTCGCCGTGCGTCGATGCAACTTGCAATATTTTGGAGGCCTTCGAACGTGATTTTCTGCATCGCTATCGATGACGAGTAGGACTTGAGTTTCTTCTTCGGTGGCTCTGTCGCAGTCACGGAATCCGCCGTCGTGGCTTTCTCTTCTTCCGCTTCGCGATTACGCGTTACCATTATTGCTCTTGAGCCGTAAGTGGTGGTGAAATAAATATTCGTGTTCTTTAGGATCAAGAGTTGTGGCGTAATTTTATCAACCCCGCGCAAGTAAGCATGCATGAGGTCAAATTCCTCTTGAAACTTCTGCCACGCTTCGAGTTCGAGGTAGATATAATCCGCCGAATTTCCGATTAGTTTAGTAGGTATATAAGGGGGGTTCTAACTCAGGTCCTCTGAGGGGGGGGGGTGCGGGGCGAGGGGAACTGAGGGCGCGGGGGCTGACGTCACGCGGGAGAGGGGACTTACCGACATTTCTTTTTTACCGACATATTACCGGTATTTTTACCAACATATTTATTTTTTACCAACGTATATATTTTTACCAACATATTTATATTTACCAACATATTTTTTTTACCAACATATTATTACCGACATAATTGGTAATTTTTATTGACCCTGCGATCTGTTTTTACCGACATATCTTTCCACATATTTTTTTTTAACATAATATCGATATAATTGAGCGTTTCATCAATCCTCCCCGACGTGTTCGCGGCCTCCCCCCCCCCTTCCTGTTGGCAGCGGTTCGCGAGCGGGCCGCGCCACCCACTCGCCTTTCCCCCTCTCCGGCCACCGGCGCGCCTAGAATATTCTCGAATATTCCAGAAAGATCTTTTGAGGAGAACATTCGGTCTCGAAAAAGAATTTTATCTAATGCATAGAGATACTTTAATGGGTAGAGACATCCTTTTAGTTTTTATCTTCAACAGCCCTCCCGAAAAAAGAATTTTGTCTTTCGAAAACACAAGTTGTACAGACCTCGACAACACAACACGTGAATACTATGTCGCGATTAAGTGTTCTAGTGCGCGAATGTATCGTCGCGGGTTCTTACGCGGACCCGAATATCAATCGCGAGAAATATTTATCTCGCGTATCGGAAAGCGACGACGTGGAAAACTATCATTTATTTTATATCTTCGCTTGCGAATGCAGCAGCATGCTACTCGTGTTGCTGTTTAACAGCGGAAGACTTTGTAACGATCGGATCCAAGAAATTGTGAGGGAAATCCTCATAATCAGACGTGATTTCGGGAAGGAAATGGAGGATGTCTGGGGTATGATCGGGGTTGTACTCAACCATACTAGGCAAGCGAAATATCGTAATAATTATATAAAAACTACAATACACTAGAAAAATATATGAAATTAATGATTATTATTTTCCATAGCCCAGGAAATTCGAACAAACATGTGATTTTCTCGCCTATAAGAACGGCGGTAGAAGACGTTGATAACGACGTGGGTAAGTTTACATATATCAGTAAAATATTAATTACGACTTATTTTGAAACCACTTTTTTATATGCTAATACATATATAATTCCAGAAATCATCCAAAACGAGCAAGTTAACAAAGAAGTGGAGGTAATCGACATTTCTGGTGATATCGATGACCCACCAATTATCTGGGAACGCTTTCCCGACTATGTCATTGATATCAACGAACCAGCGATTAATTGGGAACATTACCCCATTGCCGAGATTCCGCTCCAGAAACGAGGTAAGACAGCGTTAATTTTCAATATAAATTCATATGTAAGTTCGACATAATTGATGATTTTATCGATCCTCCTTCTTTTCAGTGACCCCTCCGTTCATGATTCACCCTCCAGAATATTCTAGAGCACTCGAGACATTCCGAAAACTATGTGAAAAAAAATTTCTCTAATGTATGCGTACCTATGTAGAT